GGGTGGGGGCTGGCTGGTTTGCCCTGAAGGGTGTCCTGGATCAGGGTGGGGGTCCCCACTGGGGTGCCTGGCCAGCCTGGATGAGGGGATGATGGCTGTTTGCAGCTGGTCACACCCCCTTCAGGGTGGGGGTCCCCACTGGGGTGCCTGGCCAGTCTGGGTGAGGGGCTGAGGGCTGCTTTCAGGCTGGCGGTTGTTGACTGAAGCTCCCAACCGCTCCTTTTTTTTCTCTTTTTTTTTTATTTTATTCTGGGCCAGCTTTAGCTCTGGCTCTAGCTCTGAGGCTTCGTATCTGGTTTGTTTGCCGTTCTATAATCGAAACAATGTATAACTTCAGCTCTGAGATCCCGGCAGGCTGAAAGCTGGTTTCTGGGGTTTTGTTTAGCTCCTACATTTGCAACATAGTACATAGTTGCTTAGAGTTGCAACTCAGAGGCCGGCAAGTCAGGTGGGGAACGTTGTAGTCTGCAGTCACTGGAGCAAGCAAGCCTCATGTTCGCTTCCAGCTGCCTGGCTGCTGGCCGCCATCTTGGCTGACAGTTAATTTGCATAAGGATATGCTGATTAGCCAATGGGAAGGGTAGCGGTCGTACGCTAATTACCATGTTTCTCTTTTATTAGTGTAGATTAGGCAGCAGGAGGAGGTGCAGTCTTTTCCTTTACCCTCAATAAAACCCCCCTTTGTCTTTTCTGTCACTCTCCAGTAATTTTTTTTAGCTGCCTCATAGTTATTTCTAGTCATGAACATGACCTTAATTTGGTAATGGGAATAGCCAGTGGTGTATATTAATCAAAACTCCAAATGTAATTTAGCATTAAATCTCTTACCCTTTCTGGAGTCTTACTTAGGCTAGTACCTGTGGTCTCCGAAAGGAATATTGGTTGTTTCCTCCTCCCACTTTCTTCCCCAGCTTGTAGAGATGGTTCTTTATTCTCTTGGGTCAGGCCTAGGAGAAGAGCAAATTGGGGACAAGAACACTGTGGTAGGTGTCTGATGTTGGGGCCTTCTGGATGGCAGATATTTAAAGATGATTTTCTAGGAAATCATCCTGGATTCCTCCAAGGCTCCCATTCTTGGGGATGTTTCTTCAGGGCAAATGTAATGTCATTTGGGCATTTGCTTTGCCCCTTTGTGGGACTCATCAGTCCATCCCCATCTTCCTTTATGCTAAGCTCTCATCACCCAATGAATAGCCCTATTGAACATGATTTAAAATGATCCCATGCTGCCCTACCTGGTTTGGCTCAGTGGGTAGAGCGTCGGCCTGTGGATTGAAGGGTTCCAGGCTGGATTCCAGTCAAGGGCACATGCCCTGATTATGGGCTCCATCCCCAGTAGGGGGGGTGCAGGAGGCAGCCTGATTCTTTCTCATTATTGATGTTTCTATCTCTTCCTCTCCCTCTCCCTTCCTCTTCTGAAATCAATAAAATGTATTTTTAAAAAAATTCTTGCCCTAACCAGTTTGGCTCAGTGGATAGAGCATCAGCCTGCAGACTCAAGGGTCCCAGGTTCGATTCTGGTCAAGGGCATGTACCTTGGTTGCGGGCACATACCCAGTGGGGAGTGTGCAGGAGGCAGCTGATTGATGTTTCTCTCTCATCGATGTTTCTAACTCTCTATCCTTCTCCCTTCCTCTCTGTAAAAAAATCAATAAAATATATTTTTAAAAAAAATTCTTGCGGCACACCAGTTGAAAATTGCTGACTTAGACAATAAATCCCCTTATAGTTTAAGCCAGTTTTCATTGAGTTTAAACAAAATAATAAATAAAATAAAATGAAATGATCCCATGCTGGCTTATCTCTTGGATGTGGCTCCATGCTTGTATGAAATTCTTGTGCATTCTTTGTCTTGTCATTAGGGGGAGCACAGTTACACCCAAATGCAGCTCTCTTCTTTTTTGTCTGTTGGTCTTGTCTTTTTACTCTTGCTCCCAGCCACTGCATCTTTCTCAGGCTTGAATCAAGCAGAATCAGTCTAGAGTTGCAGGAAACACATACCAAGCTCCTTAAATGGTCTTGCTGAAGTCCATTCCTGCTAGGTTGAGAAGAAGGGGAAGAAATGATAGTACTCTTCCCCCATCCATCCCACCTTCTTGAAAGAGAGAGAAGGGTTGGGCTGCTAGACAGTACTTCCTCTAAAGAAATCCTTTATTAATCTTCCTTTTTCCACCTTCTCAGTTCTTTTTAAAAAATATTCTTGAAGTGCTTGAGGGAGTTCCAGAGTTGTGTAGGATTTATAACTACGTATTTCCTTTGTAAATTCTGCAAATAATGATCTTCTCACACACATTTTGGAATCTGGTATTTGTCATCTGTTTTTTTGGTACCTCAGTCAAAAAGAGCCCTCTTTTAACTTTTTGGCAGAATATTTTCTATGGATGGATGGTTTCACTTAGGGGAAATTAAAACAAACAGTTATGCAACATTTGTCAAAATTTAAAAACTGCAGAAGTAATCTAGGTTGTCTGTTTTTGTTTCATTTTGGTAATATATTTAGGTTAAATGAGATGAGTTGGTTGCAGCATTCAGTCTGAGGCTTAGTATCAAGTGAATTATACAGCTTCAGAGATTCATGTGCCGTTCTTCCTGAAGATTATAATTACTCTTTGTTACAACTTATTTCTGTTGTCTCGTTCAGGTTTTATATTTTCTGTAGTTCTTCTTTCTATTTTCTGTGCTGTACATTGGATAGGTCACTTTTCTCATTGTTTTTTAGGCATATTGACTCTTATTATGGTGATTGCCTGTAACTTACGAGTTTAACCTTCCCTTCCCTCCAAGACACCAACAGAGCAGTTCTTGGCACAACTGGATGGGAGTAATTTATCTGGGAAGTGATCCCAGGAAGTAGAAATAAAGAGACCAGGGAAAGCAGGAGAAAAACTTGTAAAGGGTGTATTAATGAGCTAATTATAACTGTAGGCAATGAGGGATCCCTGTGAAGAACCATAGGCACACCTCAGGATGGCCCTACCAACATGAAGATCAGGTATTTATCCCTTCCCCCATAACTTGAAGCTTCTCCCCAGAGGCATCAATTCCACAAACCCAGGGGCCCTCTGAAGCATCAGAAAGCACCTGAGGCAGGAAAGCAGAGAGCACCTGCAGCATGTGCTTGAGGTAGGGGACTAGCAACAGGCAGGAACTGTCTCCACAGCTACAGTGGCACCTGGGGCTGAGGGGGTGCAGGTACTCCAAGTGTCTAGTGCAGAAAATGATGTTTATTTACCTCCCTTGATTACTTAAACATGTCACCATCACATTTCCTCCTCTTCAGACAGGCACTTCAGCACATTCCCACATTCCTTTGATCTCTCCCACTCAGCACCCCACTAAGTAATTTGGGGTTGTTATGAATACACTTTTTCTTTTATCCTTTTATTTATTTATTTATTTTTTTTTTTCCAGTGTCCGTGTCCATTGGTTATGCTAATATGCATGCATACAAGTCCTTTGGTTGATCTCTTACCTCCCGCCCCCTTTTATCCTTTATTTTATAATTTTTTTAAGTATTTTTCTTTAAGTGTACCTGGGAATACCTATTGGACCCTCAAATTAAATGACAATTGAATAGATAGAAAATTCTTGGTTTCAAACTAACAAATAGAGTTTTATAATAAAACTTAGTTAAATCAAAGTTAAAGTGTGAATAAACAGTGTTTTATTTGTAGTTTAAGTAAAATTTAGAGTTCAAGTAAATATAAATTTATTTACCAATATCCTCATCAATTTTATTCCTTCAATTTTGACAAAGTCTCAGGGTCTATCTGCCTGTTTCCCCCTTACAAATTGTGTAATTAATTTAATCTTTGGTTTTAAACCTGTCTGGAGTAAAAATTTTCCCAGATGAAGCCTCTGTTTTTATAGTAATACTGAACTGCCAGTTTTCTCTTTCCTCATATGCTCGTTTTCTTTCTACTGTATTTCCTCTGGCAATAAACAAATTGTTTTTGGTCTTAGAGTGTCTTAGGTAGCCCAGTGCGTATGTCTGAGTCTTAGTAGGAAACTTATACCTGAGGAATCTGGAAGGAAGGTGTAACAATAAGAAAACAAGCCTTGATTCCGGGAAATCCTCTTGACCCCAGGACAGTTTTTCTTGTAGTCTACACATCTGCTTTTTGTCACTGTGCCGCCTGATTCAACAACTAATAATTTGTAAAAGAGTTTCTTCCAGAAGGTTTCTGCTTATATTTAATTTTAGATGTAATCAACTTAATGTGATAGTTGATAGATAAAATATTGCCAATGAGTATAGTATGGGAATTATATAGTTAAACAGGGTAAAAAACTAAATTAAACCATTTCCCTTTCTTACTGTATATATTTTTTTCTTGACCCTGGTTTGTAAGTGATATTTGTTAGCATCATTGGTATTCTGCTACCAACATGAGATAATAACAGATTTTTAGAAAAGTAAATAGAATTATGATTTTTTTCATAGATTTTTCTTAAATCTATACTGAAAGAAATTTAAGAAGCAAATGACAAGTATTAACAGGAAGAACTTGGCAACAGCCCATCATTCATGTTTAGTTTACCATTCTCTGTAGCTCTTATAATGTAATTAAATGTATTAATATTTCATGGTGTTCCCCCCCCCCAAAAAAAAAGTTTATAATTTTGAGAGGACTTTGACACTTATACAAGTTTGAGAACCACTGTTCTTGGTAAAAATTGGTTCTTTGAATTAGAAAATAGAGTTTATATTTTAAAAAATAAGCAGAGTGCTATAAGATAAGTTCACCAGTTATTTACATGAAAAACTGTTTGTAGGTAAAAGTTGCCCTCACCCTTCACAGGATTGTTAAATTAATTTAAATAATATGTTTATTTTGTGACCTTACAGGAGCCCAGGCTTGTGTGCTTGTATTTTCTACCACAGACAGGGAATCTTTTGAAGCAATTTCCAGTTGGAGAGAGAAAGTAGTAGCTGAAGTTGGAGATATACCAACTGTGCTTGTACAAAACAAGATTGATCTCTTGGATGATTCTTGTATAAAGAAGTAAGATGGCAATTTTTGAGGGGGTGGCGATAATTCTATACAGTTAAAAACTATTTTAATTTTTGTATAAACTTACAAAATTTAGGGACGTTTATATAAAGAATGCTTTATATTTAAAATTTCTGTGAGCTGTTCTATGTGATTGATTTGTTTTTAAAAAAGTTCTTACTGAATCATAAGTAGAGAAAATTAAAGGATTAAATTTTGAAGCTCCTTTTAGAATTCTAGGCTTAGGTCTTTGCACCACAAATCCAGTTCTTCGTTTTAAGTCAAATGTAGATCTAGTGATAATGCTAAAGAAAACCTTTAAAAATATTTAAACATATGAAAGATGCTTTAATAAAGAGTAAGTAGATAGATAGCCTATGTTGATGAGTTTCATATTGTTTTGTATTTTCAGAACTATTATGCTCAAATTTGTGAATGGAGTTTAGCATCCAGCTAATTTTTTTCTATAAGTATTTGCTCATTGTATTATTAAAGTTTTGCTTATGTGTTCTTATGTTATCTGTTGCTATATAACAGATTAGTCTAACTTAGTGGCTTACAACAACCAACATTTATTATTTCTGTTTCTATAGGTCAGGAATTTGGGATAGCTTGAGGGTTGTTCTGGTTCAGAGTTTTCCATGAGGTTGAGGCAAGATATTGGCTAGGCCAATAGTCACACAAAGGCTTGACTGGGGCTGGAGGATCTGTTTCCAGGATGGTTCACTCAGCTGGCCATTGGCAGGGCCTTAGCTCCTTGCCACGTGGATCTTCCTCTCTAGGGCTGCTTGAGTGTTCTTACAACAAAGCAGCTGGCTTCCCACAGCCAGCAAGCCAAGAGAGAGCAAAGCAGAAGCCACATGTCTCTTAGGACTTCGCCTCAGAAGTTACATACTATCGCTTCTCTATGTTATTGATCCCATTGACCAACCTTGACTACAGTGTAGGACAGTGATGGCGAACCTATGACACGCGTGTCAGAGGTGACATGTGAACTCATTTTTTTTTGGTTGATTTTTCTTTGTTAAATGGCATTTAAATATATAAAATAAATATCAAAAATATAAGTCTTTGTTTTACTATGGTTGCAAATATCAAAAAATTTCTATATGTGACACGGCACCAGAGTTAAGTTAGGGTTTTTCAAAATGCTGACATGCCGAGCTCAAAAGGTTCGCCATCACTGGTGTAGGAGGAGACTACACAAGGGTATGAAGACCAGGAGCGTGGGGAGATGGGATGGAATCATTGGGAACCATTTTGGAGCTTAGCTACTATAGTCTTAATAAAATCAGGAGTCCACCATCAGGAGTCATAATAAAACTAAAGTTAGGAGTCCACTCTTGTAGAGACAGCCTTACTATACTGTTGACTCTGACTTTGGCAGCCAAGTAGTTTCATAGCCAGTAAGAGTAAAATAAGTACTGCACTATGTGACTTTCAGAGTGTAATTAAATTCAAATGTTTTTTAAAACAGGAGAGAATATTAAAGTGTTATATAAAGAAAAGCGATATTTTGCTATTTTAAGGCTAGAGTTTAGTGACTTTCTGGAAAAGTGTGTGTTTACAGTTACAGTATCATGGTTGGTGTTTATCAGTTCCCACGAGTAGTGAAAACAAAACCCTGTTCAAGTGAGAACACAGCTTTAACTGGTCTGGAACATCTGACACCACCCTCCCCCAAGCTGTATCAATAAATGTTATAAAAGTGATTTTTTTAAAAACAAGCGATCAGAAAGTATCTCCATAAGCACTTTTCCCTCCCATTGATACAGCGAGGAAGCTGAAGCACTGGCCAAAAAGCTAAAGCTAAGATTCTACAGAACGTCGGTGAAGGAAGACCTAAATGTGAATGAAGGTAAACTGCCGTTTTAAAAATTTAACAGCAAATCTGTTTTACTCTTCTTAGTTTTCTATTGTGTTGTTTAGAAAACATTTATGATGAGAATAGAATTTTATTGTCACCTGTCATTAAGAAAAAAATTAAAGCATGATGTTTCTTTGAGTTAGAGTTTTTAATTATTCACTGATGTCTTGGAAAACTTGGTACTCTACAGCAAAACTCTGCTGGGTGTTTGTTTTTTATCTTTAAAAATATAACTATATGTGTGAGTGTATATGCATGTATGTGTTTTTCATGCATACCTTTTAAAATTACTGAATTGTTTTAGAACTCCACAATAGGTGGATATTCCAGTAGGTAGTTACAATAGCCTTAAATTAATAGTATTTCCTAGTTTAAGAAAGTAATATTAGAGAAAGAGGATGGTTATTTTTCTCATTCCAGAATTGCTACTTATTATATTAGGTAGCAACTGGATTGTTGCCTAGGTGTCTTTCTGGGTAGGTATTTTTTTCACCTAAAGAAATGAGATATCTTTTTAAGACTAAGTCATTTAGTGTTGCTGAATATTAATCACTATTCAAGTACTGAAAACTAAAGAGCCAATGATTACAAACACTACTTCATTTCTTTACTAATAAAATGCCACTATCTGTTTATTAGTATTGCCATTCATTGTACATAGGTATTGCTGAAATAAATTTACAAGTTGAATTTTTCAACTAGATTGTATATTTCTAATTTAATTTTAAATTTGTTTAGTACATATAAATATTATAGTATGTAATGTGCAAAAACATATTTTATCTGCATAAGTCATACTGACCTGGTAGGCTTTTTGTTCATTTTTATTCTAGTTTTTAAATATTTGGCTGAAAAGTATCTTCAAAAACTGAAACAACAAGTAGCTGAGGATCCAGAATTAAGGCATTCAAGTAGTAACAAAATTGGTAAGTACCCAGGACATTTTAGACCCATGTTTACCTGGTGAATTTATTTCCCATTAATTATTATCTTATTTACTATTTTTTCATACAGTGTGCTCAGTTGTTTAAGAAATGTGATTAGAATGTGTTAGATCAGTGATTATTACATTTAGTAGTATCAGGTCTCTAATTAAAGGTATATTGATTCTCATTATGTAACACATTAAATACAGGCTCTCTTCATCCCAATATTTAAAGACAGTTTTGTCCATCCTTCCTGTGCGACTTCATGCCCCACTTTTATGTATGTACCCCTTTTACCAGTTCCACCAGAGGTCTTGCTCTTTCTTGAACATGTCCAGGGCTGTCTTACTTTTCACTTTTGCTCATTTTGACTCTTCTATCAAAATAACCTCCCTTTCCCATCTCTGTCAAAGAACTTTTTTTTTTTTTTAATCCGCACCCGGAGATATTTTTTTCCATTGATTTGAGTGGAAGGCTGTCAAAGAACTTTTTTTTTTTTTTAATCCGCACCCGGAGATATTTTTTTCCATTGATTTTTAGAGTGGAAGGGAGAGGAAGAGACAGAGAGAAACACCAATGTGAGAGAGACACATCAATCGGTTGCCTCTGGCATGCCCCCAACCAGAGCCAGGAGCCTGCAGCCCAAGGTATGTGCCCTTGACCGGAATCGAACCCAGGACCGTTCAGTCTGCAGGCCTACTCTCTATCCACTGAGCCAAACCAGCTAGGGCTGTCAAAGCACTATTTATTCCTCATGGACTATCTAGAAAGCTCGCTCGGCTATGTAATTGGCCTCATGCTTTTCCTTTAAGTGAACAAAGATCTAAGTCCAGGACATTGCCAGGTGTCCAGTTCCACCTGCTTCCTATAATTCCTCCTTCCTAATAAATTAGATGTCACTCGTCCTATCTTTGAACCATTTATGGGATCTTGTGTCTCTTTTATGGCACTTAACATGTAATATCTTATACATATATCATTATTTCTTTGTATACTAACCTCATTTATTAGATTGTAAATTTCTTTTTTTCTCTTTTAAAGATTGTAAACGTCTTGTGGGCAGGAATTGCTCGCAGTCACCTTTGTGTTGTTGATAGTGTCTCTGGCCCATCGTTCTGTGTATCAGGGATGATAAATAGTTCAGAAAGACCAGCACAGTTCAAAACAGAACCTATAATAGTTAAACTTTTTTTAAAAAATTATCTTTTTTGCCAAAACCGGTTTGGCTCAGTGGATAGAGCGTCGGCCTGCGGACTGAAAGGTCCCAGGTTCGATTCCGGTCAGGGGCATGTACCTGGGTTGCGGGCACATCCCCAGTAGGAGATGTGCAGGAGGCAGCTGATCGATGTTTCTTTCTCATCGATGTTTCTAACTCTCTATCTCTCTCCCTTCCTCTCTGTGAAAAATCAATAAAATATATTAAAAAAAAATTTATCTTTTTTATCTACTCATGACTTTAATTATCTGTAGACCATTTTGTTAGTTTAGCCTCGATAGGAAAATCTTACATTACTACCAGCTTTTACATAGGTAATGTTTTGATTAACATAAAATATCACAAATACTGTTAACTACGTCAGGTATTCTTAAGGAAGTTATCCGATATAAAGTTAATAAGTGAAATTATTATAATTATTTTATTTACTGATTCCATATTTCAAAAATAGTGAAAAGATGCAGAATAATGTGTAGAATATGTCACCATTTGAGTAGCAGAGGGAGGAAAAAAGAATATATATATATGTATTTTTGCCTATATATGCATAAAATATCTCTGGAAGAATACATAGGAAAATTGATAAAACATGCTTGCCTTAGGGGAATAAAACTGGGGTGGTGGGAGGAGACTTCATTCTGAACCCTTTTGTACCCTTTGAAATTTGAACCATATGTATTTCTATTAAAAATAAATGAAATGAAAAGAAAGGCTTAAAGTTGTAAATACTTGGAAATATTACTGATTCACTAAGAAGCTGGATGCAGTCTTCAGTAGGTAATCCTGAGACATGTCAGTTTCAACCTCTGTGTCCCCCTTCAATTTATTCCAGGTGTCTTCAACACATCTGGTGGAAGTCACTCGGGTCAGAGTGCAAGTACCCTTAATGGTGGAGATGTCATCAATCTTAGACCCAACAAACAGAGGACCAAAAAGAGCAGAAATCCTTTTAGCAGCTGTAGCATACCCTAAAATGTTATAGGCAGGAAAATAATTGTGCAATTCAGTGAGAACTACATCCAGCTGTCATGGTATGTTACAAGTTTTTTAGCAGATTTTGCACCTAATGCTTTGAAAGTTGGCAGACTTAAATATTGATCTGCAGTGCTTTTCAGAATGGAGTGAGATCTTTGGAGGAAAAATTACTGCCCTGTGGACTCATTTTAATTTTTTTTACATTAGACGAAGCTTCTCCTGTTTTTGAAGGAATGCTGTAAGAAATGTCAAAAACAGGTTTTGCTGAATTTTAAATGCTGGAAAACATAAATGAAATACCTAAATATATTGGTACAGATTGTAATATTATGGGTCAAGAAAAGATAGCATTCTTTTTCTGAAATTAGTCATCTAGCTTTTCTGGGAAATAGTATTGAATCCAAGTACTTACAAAAAATAATAAAGAAAGGTAGACCCTAAGTTTTGTGAGACTGCATTAGTATGTACTTGGGCAATGTTACTGTGCAATATCTGTACCAGGTGGGGTGTGGAGGTATGCATGCAGGTACTTGGTATTGAAGTAAATTGAAGGTGTGTGCAGTGTTTAAGGAAACAGAATCTAATTCATTCATTCATAGAATCATTTACACATTGTGTGTATGTTAAAAGTTTTTATTTTCAAATAAGAAATTTCAGACATATATTTTGCAAAAGAGCTGGGATTTAAATAGTGTTTTGTGCCAAAAAGTATATCTAATTTTTACAGTGCTTTACTATCAGAATTTATATTGTTTATAATATCTTTTAAAAGCAGTTTTCCTCTCTGACGGGGTAGATAAAAGAGGAGTTTAAAGGTTTTAGTGCTAGATCATCTCTCAGGTGAGACTTGTTGCAAAACTTTTCACGTGTCCTTCATAAGCATAGCGAGCTTGTGCTGGCCAAGTCCTGGAGCAGACACAGCACGTCTGCGGTTACTCCTTAGGCCTGGGAAGCACACTGATGCTTCCGGCGCCTTTGCTGCTGATTGAAAACACAATTTTGAACTTCTAGGATTATGCTAACAATTTTTTAAAATGCACAAGAGGTGATCTTTTATTGTAATCCACATTATGGATTTTATAATGCCCTGCAACTGTAAAGCATCTTTTTGTTTACACATTTTTGTATGGTATTTTAACATTATTGCTTAAAAATTTCTATAACCTTTAATTTGTACAGTGCTTTCTCAAGACCGCTGTCAGGAACAAATATAATTTCTTTTAAGAAATGATTTTAATATGTAATCATGTGGCAGAGCATAAATTTTGTGACTTGGGACAGTAGCTTTCCAGCTAAGATAATTGCATGAACTCTGTTAAAACTAATTATCATTTATCAATGATTTCGTTTTTAACCCTTTGCAATATACCTTGTTTTTACAGGATTTCAAAATGTGTAAAAATAACTTCTTGAAAAATGTGCGATCAAGTTCTTTTTCATTATTTGTAAATGCATAATGTTTTATATATTTCTCTTGTATCTTTTCTCTCTCTCTCTTTTTTTTCCTAAGTCTTCCATCTGCGCCACTCTCATCCCCCATCCAGATTAATGTTGACAACCTAATAGAATTTTCTGGGGCGTGTCTTTGTTAAGTGGTCAAGAGTGGATGTTTGCTTTTCAGAATATTGAAATAATCTGGCATTATGTATTTCAAAGTAACATATAAAATTTTATTTTTATGTCACCAGTTGTCAGCACTCCCATTGCTGGCAGTGGGATAGATGTTGGGAAAAACTCAGTTCTTATCAATGGGTACCTGCTAGTGATTCATCTTTCCTTTTCTAATCTCTTGAAATATAGTCTCTTTAATTTTTTGCACAAAATATATTTTGCATCAAATAGTCTTACGGTTTTTAGTATCAGAAAAATCACATTATGTAATATGTTGTAGTTGTATTTCATATTAATTAAATGTGTGTTGGTAAAAGTTTGTTACTGTTCCATATAAAAAATGTAATCTCTGATGGTTGCAGTTCCCCTGATATTTGTAATATAATTTTGTGTACTTATTTTGTCTTTTTTTTTTTTGCAAGAACCGAAGAGAAATCTTTGTTACACATTTGAGTTTTTAATTTGCACTTCTGTATTTTAAATCTAACCATAATTAATCATTATACATTCTCAATTTAATTATAAAACCTAAATTAACATTAATTTTTCCCCCCTGAGGCCCTTAATTCCTTTAAATAACTTTACTCTTAGTGTCTAACGAACCATGGTTGCTGAAGAAAACTTGTGTAAGCCTCCAGGAGGTTGTGCATTTGTGCTCTAATGTATTTTTTACATTATGGCTAATGTTTAGCATTCAGACATATAGCTCTGTAATAACTGCCATATTTCAAAGTTCCTGAGGTTTCCTTTTCCTCTTTCAGTCGCCTATTGAATTAAATAGCACACAGAATAGCACATATAAGGCAATATCTATAATAATAAAAGCATAATATGCTAATTAGACCTTCCCTACCAGGGAAGCCTGGGTCCCGGGTGCCTGCTGGTGGCTGGAGAGAAGCCCGGGTTCTGGTTGCCAGAGAGAAGCCGGTGCCGGCAGCCGGGGAAGGCAGGCCTACTCTTGCATGAATTTTTTGCATAGGGCCTCTAGTAGTTAAATAAAAACAGGCGAAATGGTTTTCTTTTCATCTGCCCAAAGTTGATAACCCACATAAACTTTTTAAAAATAAAGTAAAAGTGACACTACCAAAAAGAGGATGGACACCTCCCTGTGGATCGAAGTTAGATCAGCCGTGGGCAAACTACGGCCCGCGGGCTGGATCCGGCCCGTTTGAAATGAATAAAACTAAAAAAAAAAAAGACCGTACCCTTTTATGTAACGATGTTTACTTTGAATTTATATTAGTTCACACAAACACTCCATCCATGCTTTTGTTCCGGCCCTCCGGTCCAGTTTAAGAACCCATTGTGGCCCTCGAGTCAAAAAGTTTGCCCACCCGAGTTAGATGGTGGTTTCAGAAGTTGACAACTCAGTGCAGAAAGAACACTCATTAATGCACCCACTGAGCCTGTGACTGTTAGGGACTGGAGTCTATTCTGAAGATCTCAGAACGAGGAGTTGGCTTCAGGACCTAACGTCCCAACTTATAGTGAACTGTTTTAATGTAAAATATTAATTGAGAGCATCCTTTTCAAAACCTCTGAAATAGTTAACTGGTAATTTGCTGAAGTGCTCCCATTACTGGATAGTCTGTTTCTCTGAAAACCAAGTGAATTATAAAGATTTCCCACACTGCACAGTCAATCTAATGAACAGGTAGATTTATTCAGTTTTAAAACTACTAGTTACAAACATGTGTACTGTTATCACTCTTCAAGTTTTCACCCTAAAACATGTAAGCTTATCTTACTAGTGAATTTGTTTGCTAACAAACTATTTAAAACCACAGTGGACTCTGGAATATCCAATTACCTAATTCCCAGGTAACTGGATGGATTAGCTGTAATAACTTTTATTAGTACTCCTTTTCTTCTCTCTCTTGAAATATCTATAGTAGGATGCTGGTAGATGGTCTAAAAATAAAAACTTTGGATTAAAAGGAAATCTCAACCCCTTCTATATTTTTGTTACTACTAAATAATGCTTTTGTAAATTTGAATGAAAAACCACTTGTATGTATTACTATTGGGTTGCAGTTATGCATGTGAGCTTAATTTAAAATATACTACTTAATAAAAATTTCATGAAAGATTAATTCCAATAATCAAAAAATAAATACATTTCAACGCCTGAATTTTGTTTGATATGTGTCACCAGCGTGGAACCAAATAGTAAAAGGTATAATATGACTTCTTTAAAAATCAAAACAACTTAAAAATATTTCATATTTCAGATACTCTGCCAATATTTAGCATACTCATTTTATTGATAGTAGATATTTAATGCAATTTAGTAGCACTATGGTTTAAGTAATTTTGCCTTGGAAACTAAATTTCTTTTTTATTTCTATCAGTATCAGTCTGTTTAAAGAAGTTATTTCCTTGTGCTTTGAGCATCTCTCACCAGCCCCTCTCCCTCCCCCCCACCCCCCGCCAAAAAATATATTTACTTTGTCCTGTGGTACAAAATATAGTTCAAATTTATTTAACAAGTGCTTTCTGTTAGCCACCATGCTAAACACCTTGCATGCTGTATCTCTTGAAGTTCCTAACAGGAGCATTCTCACCCCCACTTTACAGCTGGGGAGGGCAGGGATGTGCCTGGGGCTCTCTGTGGTAAGAGAGGGGGTGGGAGGTCTCCCAGCAGCAAAGCTTATGGCCTCTGTGTTGTTGTTGTTGTTTTTTAATTAAATCTTTATTGTTCAGATTACATTTGTTCCTCTTTTTTTTCCCCC